AAAAAAAAAAAAAAAAAAAAAAAAAAAAAGGGACTAAGACTATCCACCCAAACCTCATCCCTAAAAGGGTGGACACGGGTTATGGAGAACAGTCAGGATCTTAAATGAGAGACCCCCAAGGGCAGGCACTCTCCAGCAGAGCTTCTGTTGCATAAAGCCGCAGCACCTGTTCCAACTACCATTCTTTCCAGGATGGCAAGCTGGCGTGTATTCTGCCAGAGGGACATCAGTTTCCTCGATTGGTGCCAATAACATTTTTGTCATCATCCACAGTATTATGGCTGCAGGCAATAGAGTCAACTGGACACATACATACATTCATGTGGCCAGTGTGTTGGCTTGCTGAATATGCACCAAGTTTCCTACCATTGTGACTGCAGGATTCCTATGGATAATCACCCCAATGATGACTAGTAACTGAACATGTGTATGGGGGCAGTTTTTGTGACTAATAGTAGAAAGGACAGACCTGTGGGGACAAGCCTCAAGGTGTATTGAGCATACAATAAGTACGGAGATTATGTGAAAGCAAGGGTCAGTTATCCTCACTAACGGAACATCACGGAAGATTACAAACATATAGGTAGTACAGCAAGATACCCTGAAGGGGTGGAGTGTGAGGAAAATGGAGTCAGTATGATTAGGCCCCCTTGCCTCATATCCAGCTGGGTATGATTCAGCACATCCATTGTAAACAAGTTGTATGAGTGGTGTGACTATGCATGGGCACTCATGTGCCCTTTGGCTTGTTGCCACTATTGTGTATTTTATATATGAGACAACAGCTTTGAGCCCTTGGTGGCAGAGCTCACATCTGAAATAAAGCATGTCAACTTTGCTGGTGGCTGCCCAGTTTTTTTTTTTTCTTTTATCTGACTCACGACCTGCATAGGACAGGGTAGAGGGATCTGTGATCCAGTCCAACAGAGGAGGTGGGGTGACCCCCAAAGCTGATGTCTCCATCCTCCACTCCCCATGATGATGGGTCACCCCAGGTACACTCATGGTGGCCAGAGGAAAGTGATTATCAGGGGATTACTCAATTTTAGGGTTCAAGATCACTTCTAGAGTATCAAACCATTGAAGGTAGAGAGTAGGCGTCACATTACTATGTCCCCAGGGCCTAAACACAGTCGTCAGCAAAGAGAGATGCCCTGCACATGCTTGCTGTGACTCACTGAACAAGTGACAAGGAATGTCAGCAGCAAAGGTGGGGACATGGAGGGATGAACAAGTTGGGTTTAGAAGAGAGGCAAGCCAGAATGGGTACTAAGCCTAAGCGGCAGGCAGTCAGGCTTTATAGGAAGGTGCAAGCAGACGCTTATGCCATTCAATAAGCACCCGTACCACCTGGCCTGTGCAAGAGGAAGCCTGGTGATGCAGCCCCAATGTTGGTGCACCCAGGCCTTCAGCTCTGTTATGAGTTGGCTGTAAGCTGGGGAGCCACACCCACATGGTCACATTCCCCAAGCACACATAGCCACAAGGTGCTGGGCAAACTGGGGGCCACTGACCCTTAACTAGGGTCTCTTGGCTTCTTTTCTACCAGGTGCCTCTTTTAGTGCAGTGGGTAGTGGATATACCTAGAAGACCTTCTGGGGGTGAGGACAGTGCTTATCTCCAATCATGATTGCCCAGTCTGTGGATGACAGCTGCAATCACATGCAAGTGGGTGCCAGGCATCAGAAACCCCACTGCCCTGAGATCTGATACACGAAGACGCAAAAAACAAAAGGTCACCAGCAGCTGACTGTGGGAATCACCCCTGAAGACATCAACCTGGCCAATGGATTACACCAAGGGGACATGAGGAGCCATGGGACTGCAGAAAAAAGGGCTTCAAAATTACTCAGGTGAGGGGCCTCATGCATTTTAATAAAAGGGAGGATAGAAAGCAAGCCAAGGGGAAACCACACTTCATGTCCCTAGCAGTAAAATGACAATGACAGAAACACTGAGGAAGACCAGAATGAAAACAGGACAGTGAGAAATGGGTCCCCAGCTGGGACCTGACTGGGGAAGGCTGACGAAGAGTCAAAAAGCCAAGCGCCATGGGTAAAGAGCAGATCTAGAAGGAAACGGAGACTCTGAATCAGAGCTTCTCCACCTCTGCACTCTTGACATTTGGGGTGGCTCATTCTCTGTGGTGGGGCTGCCATGTGCACTGTAGGATGGTGAGCAGCAGCCCGGAGTTGCAGTCATCAGATGCCAGCAGCATCTCTCTCAGGAGTGGCCCAGGAATATACCTTCAGAAACTGCGAAGTGTGCGTGTGTTGTGGGGAGAGAGCAGCAAGATCATCCCAGGCTGAGACCCATTGCTCAAAACAGTTCTACAAAGCAGGCTGGATGGTCAGACACACTATTTTACTTACATATGGTCCTCATACCATTTTATCTCTTCACAAAGATCAGAAAGGTTGATGTATTAAAGATAAAATGTACATAATAAAATGAAATTAAATCAATCACTTGGACATTTATTATTCCAAGAGATTTTAGGTCTATTTCTTTTCCCAGACTGCCTGGAAAATTTATTCCTTAAGTTAGAGATCAAAACTCTCTATAAAACATATAATACATTCATTCTTCAGCAAAACAGAAGCAAGGTATATCTACAACTCCTTTATTGTGGAAGAAATCAGTTAATGAAAACTTTAGATTACATTTACTTATTAACAACTTTTTAGCTCTAAAACAGTATTTATCAACTTTGAAATTCAACATGAAAATGCACTCATATATATTCAAGTGCAGTGCCCTACTTACTATTTATGTGATCCATGTAATAAATTTCTATTTGTTTGTCATATACAGTTTCCCATCATAAAAGAAGTTTGTCTCCAACACAGTTAGCAAAGGTCAGTGGCTTTGTTATTCTGAAATTAGACAATGAAAACAAAATTAAAATTCAGGAGAATTTTGCATACATTTATAGTATCAATTCTAGAATTAAATATTTATACATTATTATATGTTATCTAATCCAATAGACTGCTCTCCTCCAACTATTTGGTTGGAAAACTAATTCATAGGCTGCCCAATAGTAACAAATAACTATATGAATACATTCACAATGAAAAGCATTAAAATATCAAAATGCAACTTTTGAGAGCAACGCGATATATACCTTCAGGTGCTAATAAAAATGGCAAAATAAGAATCATATTCATGATGTGATGAAAAAGAAGCATAGCTTATCCAGAACAATAGAGAAATAAGTGTGTTCTCTTCTCATGCCCTGAGAAACATTCCACTAAAACTTTCAGCTTCCATGCCATAAACATAGGAAAAAAAGCTTAAATCTGTATAAAATGCATGTGTAATGTTTATACCAACCAGTGTCATTTAATGAATTAAACATTTTCCATTAATCAATTGCAAAAGGAAAGCAAGATATAACAGCAAATTGAATCAAGCAGCATATAAAGAGTCTACAAAATAACTCCTAGAGCTAATAAATTCTACAGTGTAGCAGGACACAAGATTAACATTTAAAAAATCAGCTGTGTTCTATACACTAAAATGTAAAATGCAAATTAAGGACACAATTCCATTTATAATGGTGAGATAGGTGGTGCTTAGATTCCCTGGGGCCTAGTTTCAGGCCACTCCCCTGGGTCTCAAGCCACTTCCTTAAGACTCAAGCCCCTCCTCCTTTCCCCAGGAGGAGAAGGAGAAAAGAAATTATTCACAAAGTGAGATGGGAGGTGCTCAGTTTCTCTGGGTTTGGGTTTCAGGATACACTTCTGAGTTTCAAGTCACTAGCCAAGGTCTCAGGCCCCTCTTCCAAGCCCTCCCTTAGAGGAGAGTCATTGTTGCTTATTGAACCTATTCTGATACCAACACAGGAAGATTGAGACTGGGATAGATTTGTGTAACTCCAGTGGCTCAGCATGCTCAGTAGAGAGGAGTTTATGCTGATACACATAATCCTAGTGGCTGACTATGCTCTGTAAAGTGAAGTTTATCCTTTGAATGACCTTTCACTGTGGTGCTAGAGAGCACTGAATATTCTTGAATATACTCAGTGCATGTGGTGGAATTTGTTCAATGAACAAGCTCCAAAAGAGACCAACAGAGCATGTGCAAGACTAGGTTACATAGCTGAGAACCACCCACTTAGTTGGATACTCATTAGATTCCATGAATATGAATTAGATAGTGAAACTGTAAAAGTAGAATCCCAATAGAAGGCAGCATTGATTGCTCACTTTCCCTGGGCCCAGCCCACACTTCACCAGCAAGGTGCGTATGCTTTAATTCTCTGTTAAATTTACTTTTAGCAGGCAGCTGCTTGCTCTCTTGAGCCAAATTACACTTTGTACTAAAAGTGTACTTTAAGTGTGTATTTATTTCTTTTGTATTAAACTTGGAGCAGCCAGCACTCAAGTCTCTGGAACTAGGCAGCACTTTCCTCATGAAGTCTGTATTTCTCATTCTCTGTACTAAACATGTTTCACTTTCTACTGTGACTGCCCTTGAACTCTTTCCTGTGGTGGAGTCTAGGGTGGGTTGAGGCCAGTATCAAGCCACCCCAAATCCTTTCCTTTGGTAAAAGCACTAACCTATCTTTGGGGTGTGTAAGGAGTAGTTTCAGCCTCATTTGACTCAGAACTCTGATGGGGAATGGTACCAAAAACAGCTCACCTTTCAGGCTGACAAAAATACATGGGCCGCAGAGGATTCTGGGAAGACTGCAGAATAGGAAGAACCAGAAATCTGTCACCCCACAGAGACAACCAATCTGTCTGACATTTTGCAACTCTAGAGTCCACCCAAAAGATTACAGCTTCCAGGGGAAATCTTCAATGGTAAATTGCCTTAATTTTGGTAAATTTCACATGGTAATAGATATGTATGCCCCAGCTCTGGAGCCAACAATTGTGAAAATGTTACTAGAGCAGCTTGCAGGCAGCTTGTGGAGTCAAGGTGTGTAAAAAGAACCTTCAATCCTCCAAAAATTGAGGATCTGTGTTCTGACAGGTGATTGCTGCTTCTGATCTTGATGTTGATTGTAGCCAATATTGCAACTACCCTGCTACTGTCACAAGCCCCTCTCCCTCCAACTAAACCAACTATCAGGGATTTAAAGAGCCAGCACTTTTTTCTTTTTTCTCCACCACCCCCTTCACTTTTTCTCTTTTTCCCATTATGAAAGCCATGTGTTTAAAAATCCAAGACTTTAAAAAACAACCACACATAAGGCATAGAGAGTCACTGAACTTGCCCAGGGAAAGGCACAGGCTTAAAAAGACCCAAGAAGATATTAAGTGTACACCTCAAGCTAACCACAAGCACAGACACAGCCTACAGCAATAGAAAAGAGAAATCAGAAAATCCTAAAGAAGGAGAAGAACCTTATTCCCAGAGTCACTAAATTATTAGATTGAAACGTCCAGTTTTCAACAAAAAAAATCACAAGGTATACTAAGAAAAACATAAACCAACAGGAAACATCCCCAAGAAGGAATGAATGGTGAACTTTGAAAACAAAGACTTTAAAATAACTGCTTTAAAATGCTCAAGAATTAAAGACACAGGAAAGGTAAAGAAAAGAATGTATAAACATAATGAAAACACCAACACAGAGACCAAAAGATTAAGAAGAACCTGAATATAAATCCTACAGCCAAAAAGTACAATTACTGAAATGAAAAACTCACTAAAGGAAGTCCAAAGCAGATTTCAGTAGGAAGTGAAAGAGTCAATGAATTTTAAGACAGGACAACTGAAATTATCTGTGCACAGAAACAGAAAGAAAAACATTGAAGAAAAGTGAACAAGTAGGAACGAACTTGCAAGACACTAAAAAGTGACCCTAGTGAATATATTATGCACTATGAGAGTTCCACAAGGTAAAGAGAAAATGGGGTAGAAATATTACCACAAAAATACTGGGCTGAAAACTCCTCATAAAAGTAAAAATATTAACAACTGAGAAGCTCAAGGAACTCTTAACAGGATGTACTCAAAGAGATCCACACTAACATACTAAGCAAACAATTCAAAGCAAAAGATAAAATTAGATGCGCCGCTTGGGAGCGTGGCGGCGCTCCCGCTGAGGGTTCGGATCCCACATACAGACCAGTTCCCGCTCACTGGCTGAGCTAGGTGTGGGTGTGACACTGAGGGTTGCGATCCTGTGGCCGGTCCCGGTCCGGTACGGGCGCGACACTGAGGGTTGCGATCCGTTGCCGGACACGAAAAAAGACAAAAAGGAAAAAGGAAAAAAAAAAAAGATAAAATTAGAGAATCTTGAAAGCAAAAGACAGCCAACTCGTTCCATGCAAGGGATCCTCAATAGACAATTTTGACCACGTTTCTGATCAGAAACTTTGAAAGTGAAAAAGTAGTGAGCTGACATATTCATAGTATTAAAAGAAAAAAAACTATCAACCATGAATCCTATATGCAACAAAATTGTCCTTCAAATTTGCAGGAGAATTAAGACATCTCCCCTGCAAAAAAAACTGAGGGAATTCATCACCTTCAGACCTTGCCAGCAAGAAATGCTAAAAATAATTCTACTGCATGAAATAAAAGTACATTATATAATACCTTGAAGCCAATGAAGAAATAAAGATATCAGTAAATGTAAATGTGTGGGCAATTATAAAACTGGCATAATTTTAACTTTAACCTATAACTACACTTTTTGTATCACGGTTGATTTAAGAGACATATATTTCTTTTTTTAAAAAAATATACTTAGTTTAAATGTAATGTTGTAATTTGGGCATGTAACTCCAAACTTTTTTTCTCCTGACTGGCAAGGGGATCACAACTCTCGGCATGGTGTGGTCCACACCATGCTTATCCAGTGAGCACACCAGCCATCCCTATATAGGATCTGAACTCACGGCCTCAGCGCTACCAGTGCTGCACTCTCCCGAGTGAGCCATGGGGCTGGCCCTCCAAATTTTGTTTTATATGTTAAAAGTTAATTACATTAAAAAATCATTGTTTATGTTTTGGACACTCTCAGGTTGGATCACAGACCTCTCAGTCCCATCCTGTGCAGGTCCCGAGTCAGGTAAATGAAAAAAAAAAGAATACTTGCTGGCAAAGTGCACATGCTTGATTGTTCAGACACAAGCTCTGCCAACCAGCAATTCAGAACAACTGTCTTCCACACCAAAGTACACAAAAGCGGCAACAAGCCCAAGCATACCGGGGTGTGCATGTGCACTAACTCTACTCATATAACTTGTTTACAAAGAATGTGCTTAAAACACACCCAGCTGAATATGAGGCAAGAGGGCCTGACTAAACCAACTCCACTTTCCTCACACTACACCCCTTCAGGGTCACTCACCATACAATCTACACATCTGTGATCTTTCACAATGTTCCATTAGTGAGAATGGCTGACCCTTGCATCCATATAATCTCCATACTTATTGTATGTTCAATACACCTTGAGGCTTGATCCTATAGCTCTATTCTTTCAACTATTAGCCACAAAAACCCCCACCCATACACATGTCTGATTAGTAGTCATCATTGGGATGATTATCCACAGGAATCCTGAAGTCACACTGGTAGGAAACTTTGTGCATATTCAGTAAGCCAACACATTCACCACACAAGCATAAGTATATGTCCAGTCGACTCTGGGCCCATAGCCACAATACCACTGACAAAAAGACAAAAAGGTTATTGGCACCAATAGAGGGAGTTCTCGTCCCTCTGGCAGAACACATGTCAGCTTACCATCCTGGAAAGAATGGAACAGGTGCTGCAGCCCTATGCAACAGAACCTTCACTAGAGAGGGCCCACCCTTGTGGGGTCTGTCATTTAAAATCTGGACTGTCAGGCATAACCACCATGTCCATCCTTTCAGCGATGGGGGTTGGGCAGATAGCCTTAGTCCCTTTTTCCGACCATTGTACCGTTCAATCATTTCCACTGCCTGGGGATGATATGGAACATGTAACTTTCACTGAATGGACAACTGAGAAGCCCACTTCTGTACTTCATGTCCAGTAAAGTGGGCTCCATTATCACTCTCTATGACCAGGGTTTGACCATACATGACTATAAGGCCATTCAACACCTTTATAGTGATTATGTGGTCTGGGGCCTTGCAAGGGCCATACAAACAGAAAACCAGTAGCCACATCAACAACTGTGAAGATATACCTGTATTTCCCTGACTTTGGCAGTCATCCCACAAGATCCACCTGCCACCATGTTAGGAACATCCTACTCTTGGGTTTTCTGCCTATCTGCATGTGGCACCCAGCAAGCCATCAAGGGTAAATCTGCTTCCCAGGGGCATTCTTTCTCAGGCTTATGTGGCACCTGGTGAGCCACTGGCCACATGCTCTTGCAGCCAGCATGCTGCATTCTCAAGTTTATGCAGCACCTAGTGGGCCATCGAACACATGGTCTTGCAGCCAGTATGCTGCATTCATTGATGTAACCACTGGGCCACATCAGCAGCTGGGGATCTCTCCAGCCATCTTATCTTAGCCAGTGCATCAGCTTCATCATTGCCTGGACTGGCTAAGGGGAAATATCTTATGACGTGGAAAAGACTTACTTCCTTTCCATGTCCTAACTCCCATAACTCTTGCCACATGGCTTGTCCCCACAGGGGTTGGTGACCTACCATCCACCATTGATATTTCCAAGCAGACATCCAAATGCTAAGACCCTTATATATGGCCCACTCATATTGTTCCAAATGATGTAGCAGCATTGGCACTGCCATGGTTAAATCTGCAAGAGAATCAAAGGTTAGTAGGACATCATCTATGCAATGAAACATTGTGATCATGCTGGGCCTAGGTCCCCAGCCACTAAACCATGACAGGCCCTGGGTTATACAGGTAGCCTTGGGGTAACACCTGAAAAGTGCATTGCCTTCCTTCCCATATAAGGCAAATACATCTTGGCTATCAACTGAAATCTGGATAGAGGAAAAAGCACTTGCAAGGTCCAGTACATAATGATAAATTTCTAGCTGAGTCATCAACTGATCCTTCAAGTCATGAACTAAAGGCACAGCCACTTGCAAAGAAGGCACTACATTGTTCAGTTCTCAACAGTCCACAGTCATCCTCCAGGTGCCATCAGGTTTTTTCACTGGCCATACCAGGATGTTAAAGGGACTGTGTGTGGGACAAATGATGCTGCCCTTTTCTAACACTAATATAGTGGCACCAATCTCCATACGTCCTCCCAGCAGGTGATACGTTTCACATTAACCACACATCTTGGCTTGGGTAACACCTATGAGTCATGTTTAGCATGTCCCCACAACACAGCCTTCACTGTCTGTATCCACAATAGGAATTCCAACCATTTTTCACAGGTATAACCCATAAAGCACATATGTACCCAAGATGTATTCAGATACAGGAGATATACACACAGTACATACACGAGGGAACAATTGTCCAGTGCTCAGCAGCAAAGACACAGCACTGACTGTAATAGTTTGTCCTCTGTAGCCACCAACACTCACTGAGGTCCCTGGAAAGGCTACTGGCTGCCATATAACAGGAAATGCTCTGTGCCAGTATCCACTAATGCTAACACACACTGTACATTTGCCATCCACTCCTAAGTTCCCCAACTGTAGAAGCCAAGCAACTAGGGGTTTGACTGTTTCTGATGCACAACAGGTAGTGCAAGGAGACATACCAGTTCTTCCAACTCACC